CTGAATGGCTTTTTCTGTTCCACTTTGAATTGTTTTCTGGACAGATTCTTTCTAGCCAGGTAACATGGCACAGTGGAAGTGACTATAAGGAAAAAGCAGTGGGTACTAAGGGCCTGGTGTTGGTGCTAGGTGCATCTAAGGTGCTTTCATTTAAGGCTAACTGTGATCAGGTTCTAGAGACAGAATGCACACAGCAGTTCATTGCACTGGAGGTGATTGTTAGTGTCACTCAGGGTCCTGATAGATGCACAGCAGATGATCTCCAGAGATCCTCTCCTGGGAGAGCCTCCCAGAGGCCTGCAAGGAGAGGACTAGAGGGAATGGCCTTGAGCTGAGCCAGGGCAGAGTCAGATTGGATGTGAGGAGAAATGTTTTCCCTGTTGTGGTGTTGAGGCACTGGGATATTGCCCAGGGAGGTGGTGGAGTCACCATCCCTGGAGGTGTTGAAGAGGCCTCTGGATGTGGCACTGGAGGATCTGGTTTAGGGTTTAGGGGTTCCAGCAGTGATGGGTTAGTGGTTGGGCTGGATGATCTTAGAGGTCTCCTCCAACCTTGATGGTTCTATGTTTCCAACCCTAACAATTCTGTGATTCTATGAAAACTGCCATGACAAAATATTCATATGATGTTCTGTTTCTGGTGCATTGGATGTTCCTTCAAGGCTTAATTGCTTTATTCTGTACTTAGCTTCCATCTCCAGAGGAGAAGTGTCAGCAAGTTCTGGAACCACCATATGATGAAATGTTTGCAGCCCACTTAAGGTAAAAAAATGTGAAGTCAGTTGTGAGGCATCCAGCAGGGATGGGGAAGGATATCCTTTACTGTACTTACCTATTTTAAAGGACTTATATATCTGAAACCTTGGTATTGATTGCTCTTGCAAATAATGCTCCCACAACATATTTGTAGGAAAGCTGGCTGCTCATGGCTTGACTGGGTGGAGTCTTCCATGGGTTGTAACATACTGGCTGATGCCTGGAGAGTTGTGATGAATGGAGCTAAATCTAGTTGGGGCTGTCACTAGTGATGTTCTCCAGGGCTCAGTGTTGGGGCAGGTCCTGCTTCACATCTTCACTGATGATCTGGATGTGGGGATTGAGGCACCCTCAGTGAATTTGCAGAGGACACTGTGTTGGGTGTGAGTGTGGATCTGCCTGAGGGTAGGAAAGCTCTGCAGAGAGACCTGGAGAGATTGGATCAGTGGCTGAGGACAACTGCAGGAGGGTCAACAAGGCTTAGTGCTGGTCCTGCCCTTGGGACACAACAGCCCCATGCAGCACTACAGTGGGTGTTGAGGCACTGGGATATTGCCCAGGGAGGTGGTGGAGTCACCATGCCTGGAAGTGTTGAAGAGGCATCTGGATCTGACACTGGAGGATCTGGTTGAGGGTTTAGGGGTTCCAGCAGTGACAGGTTAATGGTTGGACTTGATGATCTTAGAGGTCTCCTACAACCTTGATAATTCTAGGATCATTTTTTACAATTATTAAGCTTAGTGCTCTATTAAAATACTTGTGGCATTTTGTTAGGAACATTTCTAACCATATTCCTGTGTCTTTTAAATGAACTGTAAAGCTTTATGCCTGTTAAGAGGCTGAAAGAAATACTGGTCTTATTGTATACAATATATTCTAATATCATGTATCTTTGGCAGGAATACTTGTGGCATTTTGTTAGGAACATTTCTAACCATATTCCTGTGTCTTTTAAATGAACTGTAAAGCTTTATGCCTGTTAAGAGGCTGAAAGAAATACTGGTCTTATTGTATACAATATATTCTAATATCATGTATCTTCTCTTTGGCAGGTGTACTTATGCTGTTGGAAACCATGACTTTATAGAAGCATACAAATGCCAAACAGTTATTGTCCAATATCCTTTTCCATAAATCTGGGGTATTGTTGTCAGGTTAACTCTGCTTTCTTGTGGAAATGTTTTCCCTGTGAGGTTGTTCAGGCACTGGAATATTGCCCAGGGAGGTGGTGGAGTCACCATGCCTGGAAGTGTTGAAGAGGCATCTGGATCTGGCACTGGAGGATGTGGTTTAGGGTTTAGGGGTTCCAGCAGTGACAGGTTGGGCTTGATGATCTTAGAGGTCTCCTCCAACCCTGATGGTTCTGTGATTCTGTGTAGTAATACATGGTGCCATTCAACAGCAGTTTCTTAAATCTGTGCTTCATTTCATGGCGTTTTAAATTCTCCTGAACACAGCACATCTTTCCTGCGAGCATTTCAGGCACATAAAGAAGAAAATTGGTGAGTACATCCTAGAAAGCTACTAGGAACTAGATTCATCTTTCCCTTTTACCATACCATAGTAGTCCAACTAAAGTTATGGCTAAGTTTTTATTTATCCCTCAGTGATGCTTAAATTCAGCCTAGTTGGTGCAGATTGCTTTATTTAAAGTTTAATATATGTTTTCCTAGTTTTATGACCAACTAGCCAAAAAAATATGGTTATTTCCTCATGTCTTACTGCATGATTTTCACTTCCTCACTGCAGTATGTTTTACCTTTCCAGGGCCTTACCTATTATGTATGCTGTAGCCCTTGACCTTCGAATTTTTGCTAATAATGTAAGTAGATCTGATTAACAACCTAATTTCTTCTATCTGTTTGGCATTTCCAGGATGGAAGTAGTTGAGACTTTCTTACACAGCTTTGTTTTGCTCAGTTCTCTTTAGCTCATTGGTTAGGACACTAAATTCATTGGGTTTTATTGAAAATTGAGGTGGCTCTGTCTGTCCATCTCCCATTTGCAGCTGGAAGCAGAGAGGTTCTGAGCACCTGCATGCAGCTTCCAGCAGTTCTCTAGAACTTGTGAAGGGATTCAGTACTTTCCTTATTGAGTAGCATGTGGCACAACTCACTGTTTCCAAGTTACCCTTGGGATTTGGTGGAAATCTTTATAAGGGTGGAGGTATCACAGAAAACTGAGCTATTCTAACCCTTCATGACATCTGAAGAGGGAAGATTCTGCTTTGCCCTTTCCCAACTGTGTGCACTGCTTTTGATGCTCATTGGGGCCCTTGCTGAGCCCATGCAACTGCTGACATGCAAATAATCCCCAAATTGACATTATTTCCCTTGGGCTGGTGAATTGAAGTAGCTTTTGTAGGGATCTTTTGAGAACTGCTAAGCTAAGGCGAGTGGCAGAGTTGTGATTTTCTCCTAATCAGTTTACCTGAAGAGGTGAAGCTAGATTTCAGGTTGGGTTGGAGTTTGACAATATCATAGAATCATAAAATTCAGGGGTTGGAATGGAGCTTAGAGATCATCCAGCCCCAACCCCCTGCCCTGGGTAGGGACACCTCCCACCACACCAGGTTGCTCAAGGCTTCATCCACCCTGACTGTGAGCACTGCCAGGGTTGGGGCAGCCACAGCCTCCCTGGGCAACCTGGGCCAGTGTCTCACCACCCTCACAGGGAAAAACTTTTTCCTCACATCCAGCCTCGACTTTCCCTCCTTCAGTTTGAACCCATATCCCCATGTCCTGTCCCTTCAGTTCTTAACACAGAGTCCCTCTCTGGCTCCTTGTAGACCTTTCAGATTTTGAAAAGTTCCTCTGAGGTTTCCACACAACCTTCTCTTCTCCAGGCTGAACAGACCCAACTCCCTCAGCCTGTCCTCATACAGGAGATGCTCCAGTTCTCTTAGCAACCTCGTGTCCTCTGGACTTGCTCCAACAGTTCCATGTCCTTCTTCTGTTGAGGCCACCA